CGTTGAGTCCATGCTTCGGAATATCTTACAGTCTCGCCTGACGCGCCCAGCTTTCGCAAGACAACGTCCACTCAGCGGCGTCACGGCGGCAAACAAACACAACGTAAATCGAGCCCAGCTGAGAAACAACACAGCGAGCGAAATTGAAAACGGCTTAAATGCAGCCCCCCCCCCCCCTCCCCCGGCGAGACCCCAGAAATCCCTTGAAGGGGATGACTACGTGCCTGCCCCTGCCCAAACCCGATCTGTCTTCGTCCAGCCTCATTCCCGACAATCGTCTTCTCGCAGCTCACAAGATCTGCGAGAGGTTTAGGGGGGGCAGTTGACATGGAAGGATAACTAAAGCAGAGACACAGATGGAATGATATAACAAGGATCACAGGGCATTAGTCCAATCAGCCCTAAGGCGGCATCTGGCAACATTCCGAAGTGGATTCCGCGATCCATGTAGGGTCTTATTCAGAAGTTCGGGAGATATCCTATCCCCTAATTTCACAACCAAACGGCCCGCCTCGCGGAGCCGCGCCGCTGCTCGCCGCGTCTAAACCCCGATACAGGCATCGGGCAGGACTCATCCGACAAAGAAGCACACCCAACAAAAGCAGAAACGCAACACCGACCCTTCTAGCTACGCCAGATGCCGCCGATTAATTATCTGCACCATCACGGGCTCGATGAGCCGACCTGGACATTGACTCGCGACAAGCAATCTCTTCTTGTCGAAATTTCCTCGTCTTCATCCCAGTTCACAGCCTTCACATGAGACCGTGTGACCAGTGACCGCATGCGGCCAAGCTGCTCACATAGTGACTTTGCTGGAGGTTCCTGGAACTGGTCGGCACATCGACCGCTTCCTTCACGGCAAGCACCACGGCGGCTTTGACTGCCCGAACGCAGCTATCATCCCAAAGACCAGCCGCCAGCAAACAACAATTGGCAACCGACCTCTTACGTTGCCGTGTGCCTGGTCCTGGACGAACCTTGACTCTGGCTGGATACTTCCGTGATCCGAGCTCTTGTCACGGCCGCTCCACTGATTGCCAATGTCCACAAGCTGCTTGCCACTTTCGAGGACGAGCCCGTGGTTCACGTTCTCTATTGTACACCGAACCGAAGCCTAGAAGATCACAAGAACTGCAGCAAACACACTACACTCAAAGTGGCGCAGCGCTAGCCGTGAATACAAGTGTAAGGTTCGGGGAGTACCCTACCGGGTCGCGCCGAACGACTTCTGTGTTCCACTCGAAGCGCACTCCGAACACGCAACGCCTACGTAGCAGGTGTCGTTAAATCTCCAATCCAAAAGCGAACGCTGAATGCCTGCCAGGAGCAGATCCCGAATCCCGACAGAGACCGCCCGCCCAAAATGATCAAGCAGAATCAATGCAATGCGTCCGAAGCGCAGAAACGCCAACTGGATCCCTTCGCGAACAGTGCATAAGAATAACCGACAGGACCACACTCAAAGCCCGCTCCGAACGTTCATAGCAACAGCTATCGGGCGGAGTCAAATATCCATTCCAAGTTCCTCGAAGAAGCCAAACCAAAGGCGAACACTGAATGCCTGCCAGGACCGGATTCCCAATCCCGACAGAAACGACCCACCCAAAATGATCAGGCAGAATCTAGGCAATGAGTGCGAAACGAAGAAGCGCAACCTCGAATCGGCAAGAGCCGAAGGCCCGGATGAAGCCCTCCTGGAACCCTACTTGAAGCCTTTAATATGCCCTGCACGCACAACGAAGCCAAAGTTCATACCTTCCAAGCAACTGCCCCGACCTGCTGGGAAACGCAGATGGCATACCAGACAAACACCTGTGAGTGTGCCGGGAGCAGCTCAGCCAAATGCAATGCGCTTGCTAGCTGCATACGATGCAAACAACGGGGTCTGCAGACTGAAAGTCGAGGCCCTGGATCACTTGCCCAAGACGAAAAAACCAAAGCTTCCGCAGGAACTGTGTCTGCCCGAAATGAACACCGCGAATACAACGAAGCCTCGCCGAAGACTGCAAGCCTCGAAAGTGATTCCACCAAGAAGCGTTTGCAGAAGAGGAGAAAGGACGTCGGACCCTGAAAGCCAGCATGAGACGACCAAAACCCCGAGTATCTAACACCGCGATCTTGCAATGTCAGAGCAGGTAAAACCCGAATCAAAAGTGCAATCCATGCAGTAACGATCAGCAAATGAAATCGCAGTCAATGGAGTAGGTCCGTGAAGTCTCATGACGCAATGTCCTTGTTCAATAACGCGTCGGTCCAAAGGCAGTTTGTCAGAACTCATACCAATGTTACTGATGACACGCAACGCGCCTCGCAATACGTGCGTGCAAGAATAAATGTAAGATCAGTCGACATCGAACAGCCGCAATCGAACAATTACATGAGCACAATGCTCCAAGGAATGCGCGCGAAAATTCATGAACTGTCACTCCAACCATTACAATCTCGGTCCCTCGGCTGGAGATGGTGACGCATGTGCACAATCCGTGGCAGCGCTCCTGGTACATGCCCGTCTCTTAGTAGTTCTTGAACAATTTTCAAGCAGACGTTCAAAGCAGCATAATTCGTCAAAAGTCGTGACAACAGATCGCAACGCACGTGCTCAATGCAAGCTCGCCTTCTTTGCACAGGTAGTGTTATCGCCACCACCGGGCCCAAATCGGCCGATACGTACAACGCAATGTATTAGGATGCACTCTATTACAATGAGTCGTGGAAGCAAGTCGCATATCGGGGGCAGAGGTAAGGAAACTAAGCAGGCATCTGCACGTTGCAATTATTCCGTGGCTTACTGGTCCTACAAGAGCTTCGGGACTAGCAGTACCGCTTGCTTTCAATCTCGCATCTTGCGAGTTCTGCCTCCTTCCAGAACGAAACCTGAAGCAAGGACACAAACTGAAGTCCTTACGTCCCTTTCCAAACGCCAGCTGCAAAGAAACCCACAGGGGCGGCTTCGGGATGGGGGTAAGAAGATTCCGAAACTGCCAGCACCACCTCCCGCATCGGCCGTCCCTGCCTCGACGAATCGAGCACTGGCCCAGGGCTCGTCGTGCCAAGGAAAGCCTTTCCAACACAGGTGAATCACGACGAGGAAACCGCGAGAAGTGGTTCACAGCGATTTTGCGTCGCACAACGGCCTCCCTTGAAAATCGACGTGACAGTCCTGAGCCGCACATCCGAAACTGCGGTCGATCCAAGACAGCGAAGTAGCCGCAGCCTCGCACTTTGGCAAGACGGCGTCCATGCGGTGCTGCGGCCATGTCTCGTTCAGACAGGCATCTCCATGCGGATGGCACAGTATCTGGATCCGAGGGCTCAAGCTCGATAGATCGTCACGTGTCGTCCACTGAAATAACGCTGTTTGGCGAGACTCCGGAAGTCCACTGAAGGAGGTGACTACGGGCCTCCGCGACGACGGCCGCCACTTGCTGTTCCAAAAAAGGCAGGAGCCCTTCCAAGAGTTGTTGAGCACGCAGCACGGCATTTGGCGTGTGCTCTGTATCAGTCGCGTTTCTCTTCGCTTGCAGTGGAACCGTCTCTTCGAAGAGCTGTGCCTGCCCCGCCTGACAAGCTTCCTCGGGCAGACTAGGCTGCCGCGGGTTGGACACCTCCGATGGCTCGGGAAGACATGGAGGCAAAGGCGGCAGCGGCAGTCTCGAGCCCGACTCGGCCACCGACTTCTCGTATTGGGCAACCAACGCCGCGTCTGTGCTGTTGTGCCCAGAACTCGAGGCACGACGCCGCTTGCAACTTTTCCGTCGATCGCCGCTGCAGTGCTCGCCCTCTTGTATCCAGCGCAGCAGTAAGTCCAAATAACCACAGCCTCGATGGACGGCGAGCCGTCCGGCGTGGATGCTCTGAGTAAAATTGCAGAGGGAATCTTCGCAAAGAGCTAAATGAGCATCGTCCATTGCAGCCAGCGCATGGGCGACGCATGCCGCGCTTTCTTCCATCACCGGCGTTATCGGGGGCACGTGCTTCCAGCGGCGCAAAAAAGCTCTGGCTTCTCGCAAAAGCTTGTCCGCGCGACATATCTCGGCGAACAGCACATCCAAGCTCAGTCGCTCGTGATGCTCGACGAGACAGTTCAACACTTCTCGAACTTCCCCCAGAAAGTTGCGCTCATAAACGCCTCCCGGCTCCTGAGAGGCCGTGATAGGATTGCTTTCATGATTCGATGCCAGGCTGCCCTTGAGCTTGTTGTGAAAGAAGCAAGCCCTGTAAACGAGATCGGTAAGCTCTTCGTTTGACTGGACAAGACTGTTGCAGCAGAGCAGACAAGGTTCTCTGCAGCAGCTCGACGTTTTGCAATGGCCGGCCTCCTTCGCAAGGAAGCAGCAATGCCCGATCTCCGCCACCCAGAGAAGTCGTCTCGGCAGCCTCCATCGCTGGGAGTTCCACGGCCCAGCAGCACCCCGAGCTTTCGCAAGACAGCGTCCACTCGGCGATGCCGCGGAGACCAGCAAAAGGGAAATGCAAATCGAGCCCAGGCTAGGTAACGAAAACAGCAGAATTGGAAGCAACCTCGGAGCGGAGAACATCGGCAAGCCAACCGACTTCAATGCCACCCCCCCTTCAGAGCGATTCTCTTGCTGAGGACAAGACCGATAGACCCCGCGGTGCGAGTCGAGACAGCCTAAGCAGCAACAGCAGCCATGCCAAGCCCTGCAAACCACGATCTGAATCTGGACCCGGACCCCGATGAGAGCAAAGTTCGGCAAGTGCGTTGTGGCATTTGAAGTGAATGAAATCATTTTGTTTTGGCAGAAGCGCAAGCACCACCGCAAAAGATCAGCGCCTCGGGAATGAATGGCCCCAGCCCCGCACTTTCGCAAGACAGCGTCCATGCGATGCCGCGGCCATCCTACGCGAAGCTCAGCGAGCGTTCCTCCACGGCCGCCACATCCAAGTACTGCCTCGTCCAAGCCGCTGTCTAAGCCACGTGGTGGCCGAAGCCCCGCACTTTCGCAAGACAGCGTCCATGCGGTTCCGCGGCCAGCCTACATCTGCGAGGCAGCGGCAACACTTTCCTGCGCAAACGTTGCTCTATGCAAACGCACGTAGGCACTCAGATAGCGCATGTGCGTAAATGCAAGGGACGTCGCTTGTGCAGCCACGGCTTGGATTTCCTCGTCCGACATCCAAAAACCCCACCACTCCAAGCAATGGCTCCAATGCTCCGTCTTCTTGTCATGCGAGATGTTATCGTAAGAGCACGCTCTGACCCTCAGGAAAGCAACAAGGCCCCTGGCCACATTGTGCAGCTCGGCCGGCACAAAGCCAAAGTCCTGCTCCTCTGCAGCAGCTGTCGGCTGTACAAAGCACTTCTCCTCGATGAAGTCGTTCAGCTGGAGAACCATGCTATGCTGGGCAAACTTGAACATGCCTCCATCGGTTTTGCTGGATTGCTTTCGCGGCTTCGTTCTCGCCGGCCGCTCCCTGCATCCGGCCGGTCGCTGCCCTGTTTCGTTGCAGCGCTCCAGCGGCAGAAGTTGGTGCAGGTTCTGCAGCAATGCCTTCCGCGGATCAAACCAATGCAGAATACACACGAGCGAGGAAAACAAAACGAACAAAGTAATGTACAGCTTCGAACACTTTCATACGCAGCAAAGCGACCGTCAATGGCTTGTGCCGGTAGCTGGGAATGTCTCGCATCCTCTTGTTCGGTTGCTGGTCGCCATAAGTGCTCCCTTCGGCTTCGCGCTCTTCTCGCGTGAGGGGCTTTTCGTCCAGCTTAGTCGTCTTTCGATTGACCCGTTCATGTGTGTCTAGATCATGGATAGGCTTGTTGTAAAAGCCCCTCTGGTCAGCGACGACGGTCACGTCCTTCATCGCCTTCTCCAGGGTTTCCAACGTCAACTTAGGTGCCTCTGCACGCTTTTGAGTCTTGCCAACCACAATCTCGTGCCAGTCCTGCAAAGACTTGGGCCAGCTGTCCCGATTCATTTGATCCCAGTAGACCCGCGCGAGGGAAGCGTTGACATGCATGCACCGACGCACTCTGTGACGCTCCGCATATTTGTCGGTGGGCGTCCATGCGGTACT